ATTAGTTTGCATACAGCAAGTGCTTGAGGGGAGAGAAAGATTATTTATTGCAAAGCGGCAATGCAAGGAGACAAAATTAGCCAAATCTGTTTCCTGAGTGGAGGTTGGGATACAGTTTTTGTAAAGTTCAGGAAAGGGGCCTATCCATATTCATACAAATTTCAGGAATTTGGATGTGAATCAGCTGAGGATTGGCTGAGGCTTCGTTCGCTCAGTTTAAAGGGACAGTCAATTTTTAATGCAGTGATCCAGGCTTAAGCAGAGGGGAAGATGCTCATTTGGAGCAACTTTGTTCCCGTTTGTCTCACTGCACACATCTGTGGGCCAAAACTGATTTCAAGTTGGTATTGGTTGTTTCTGAAAAACAACTTTAAGGAAACGCATGTTATATATACCTATTCATCTGTCTCCAACTAGGGTGGGGAATAACAGTAGAAAGGATCGGGATTGAGCTTCAATTCAACTCAGCTCTTAAGGAACCAAGTTGTCCCCTGTTCATCTGTCTCCAACCAAGGTGGGGATACTAATAGAAAGGATGGGGGATTGAAAACCAAGGTGAGGGTAACAGTAGAAAGGATGGGGGATTGAACTGTAATTCAGCTTGGCTTCAGGGGCCACTCAGGTACTTGCACCACTCAGTATTTTGTTCTTTTTTTTCCTTGTTACATTCTATTCCACTGTATGATTATTCCGTAATTTGTTTATCCATTCATTTGTTACTGGATATTTGGGTTGTTTCAAGTTTTGGGTGATTATGATTAAAGCTGCTATGAAGTTTCATGTAAAAATCTTTGTGTAGACATATGTCCATTTCACCTAGTTGTGGAAATGCTGAGTCATGTAGTAACTTCATAAGGATTTTATAAAAAATTGCCAAAGTGCTTTCCAAAGTAGCTGTATTATTTCACTTTCCCACCAGCAATATCAACAATTGGTATTGCTAGTGTCTTTGATATTGTCCATTCTAATAGGTGTGTAGTGGTATCTCATTGTGTTATTTTCCTGAGGACTGATAATATTGAATGTCTTTTTTCATGTGTTTAATTGGCCATTTGTACATCTTCTTTGGTGAAGTGTTCATTCAACTCTTTTGCTCATTTTTAAATTGAGTTGTTTGTCTTATTTTTGAGTTTTAAAGTTGTTTGTATATTCTGGATTGCTTGTAAATGATAGGAACTAGAAAACTAGCCATTTGGGTTAGTTTCTCATCAGACCACCTGTGTGAGGTGTGAAAATGAAGCACAGATGAGACAATCTTCAATATTTGATTGTCATTTATTTATTGTCTATTTTAATGCACTTCAGTTGTTTGAATTGAAAGGCTTGAAACAAATATGTTACAGTCAAACCAAGCAACTATACAGCAATGGCAGATAATCTTCTTTTTCTGTCTGGTCATGGTTGATATTTTCATGGATGATATGTGGAAAGGCCAATAAACTACAAAAGTAGATTGGACTCATGGTATTTTACAACCTGAAGCAAATTCTTAAGAGCAGGGAACAAATTTTTCTTGCTGAAATTAAGTCAGAACCCACACTCAAATCTTTTGATCCTGAACAGATTCATCCCTGCTCTTTAAGAAATAATGCCTTTACTCACTGGTAAGGGAGAAGCACCTGATGCTAATTTCTAATGCTACCTGTTAGCTTACTGATTAAAGATGCATCCAGAGTAGATATGGTGGTTTTGATAAGCAAAGAAACTACCAAAGCTGCATCTTTGTTTTTAGCATCTTCCCTCTGCCACTTTCAATGTGTGGCATGCCAAAAGTTATGGTACATATTGCTGTAACAATATGTACATTACATTTATAATTTTTTGCTCTTTAGAAATGCAAGCTTAGCTTTGGCATTGTCTAATGAATAAGACATGTAAAAATCTTTGTGTAGACATATGTCCATTTCACCTCGTTGTGGAAATGCTGAGTCATGTAGTAAGTTCATAAGGATTTTATAAAAAATTGCCAGAGTGCTTTCCAAAGTAGCTGTATTATTTCACTTTCCCACTTTCCCATCTTTCAGGAAGATACCTCAACTAAGCCCCAAGCTCCTTAAATGATTTTGAGTATTCTTCCCGATTTAGTTGCACACGTGAAATTATTCAACCCAATATTTCCTAATAAAGTTACCCTAGCCCAAATACCTTATGTTCTTTGGAAGGAACCCAATAGGAAAGGAAGGAGTAGAAAACAGTTATATGTTTAAAAGAAAGATAGAAACAGATACACTTATTATTATTATTTTTTTTTTAGAAAGAAGTATCATGATGAATTGCTTGTGTGTAGCAGTTTCTTTAGTTGCTATTTGAGTTGCTTTCACTTTTAATTACTCCTCCCTAAAAATAGCACCTCTGCTCTTGGACATATTCATATAGTGGAGTGCTGCTACAGACACTGTGGGAATTTGAGCCTGTGCTACTTCCACAGTTACTTCCTTTCAGATAACAATTGCTACCTTGTTTATATACCTCATTGCACATCGACAGTTTGTTGACAGTATCGGATCTAGGGTGAGGTGTAAATTGTCCTAAGCCACAACCTGAGGAACTTTCTACTTGTTGATAACTGCCTCCTGATTGTCTTTCACCACAGCTGGAGGTTGAGCCTACATTGGGTTTACTATACTCATCATAGCATCCACTTGAACTTGACCTACATCTCCCTTGTAATTCATGTTGCTCATAGCCAGAACATTGACCAGATCTGGAATCATATTGTTCAGAGCAAGATGAGTGACAAGAACCAGACCCATATTGACCAGAGCTAGAAAACTGGCCAGATCCAGAACCAAAATTTTCTGGGTAAGATGAGTGACATGAGCCAGACCCATATAGATTAGAGCTGGAACACTGACCATACTCAGAACCATATTGTCCAGAACTACCTGAGACACATGAGCCAGACCCATACTGTTCAGAGTTAGAATACTGACCTGAGCAAGAGCCATGTTGACTCTGACTAGAACATTGACCTGAGCCAGATCCATGTTGGCCATGGCTAGAAGACTGGCCTGATCCAGACCTATGTTGGCCATAGCTAGCACACTGACCTGAACCAGACTCATGCTGACCATAACTAGAAGACTGACCTGAGCCACTCTCATGCTGACCATAAGTAGAAGACTGACCTGAGCCAGATCCATATTGGCTATGGCTATATGACTGTCCTGATCCATACCCATGTTGTCCATAGCTAGATGATTGACCTGAGCCAGACCCATGTTGACCATAGTGAGAACACTGACCTGAACTAGATCCTTGTTGGCCATAGCTAGATGACTGACCTGAGCCAGACTCATGCTGCCCAAAGCCAGAGAATTGACCTGAGCCAGACTCATGTTGCCCAAAGCCAAAGGATTGACCTGAGCCAGACATATGTTGACCTTGGCTAGAAGACTGACCTGAGCTAGATCCTTGCTGACAACAGCTAGAAGACTGACCTGAGCTAGACCCATGATAGCTATGGCTAGAAGACTGTCCTGATCCAGATCTTTGTGGTCCATAGCTAGAAGACTGACTTGAGCCAGATCTATGTTGACCATAGCTAGAAGGCTGACCTGAACCAGACCCATACTGTCCAAAGCCAGAATACTGACCTGATCCAGAACTGTGTTGTCCAAAGCTAGAGGACTGACCTGAGCTAGACTCACATTGTCCAAAGCCAGAGGACTGAAGTGAGCCAGACGCATATTGGCTATGGCTAGAAGAATGACTTGAGCCAGACCCATGTCTACTATGGCTAGAAGAATGACTTGAGCCATATCTATGTTGACCATAGCTAGAAGATTCCCTTGATCCAGACCCATGTTGTCCAAAGCTGGAAGACTGACCTAATCCAGACCCATGTTGTCCAAAACCAGAGGAAAGACGTGAGCTTGACTCATGTTGACCGTAGCTAGAAGACTGACCTGATCCAGACCCATGTTGTCCAAAGCCAGAGGACTGATGTGGTCCAGACCTATGTTGGCTATGACTAGAAAAATGACCCGAGCCAGACCCATGTCTACTGTGGCTAGAAAAATGACTTGAGCCACGTCGATGTTGACCATAGCTCGAAGACTGCCCTGATCCAGACCTGTGTTGTCCAAAGCCGGAAGACTGACCTGATCCAGATCCATGTTGTCCAAAGCCAAAGGACTGATGTGAGCCAGACCCGTATTGGCTATGGCTAGAAGAATGACTTAAGCCAGATCCATGTCTGCTGCGGCTAGAAGAATGACTTGAGCCACGTCGATGTTGACCATAGCTTGAAGACTGCCCTGATCCAGACCTGTGTTGTCCAAAGCTGGAAGACTGACTTGATCCAGACCCATGTTGTCCAAAGCCAGAGGACTGACCTGAGATAGACTCATGTTGACCATAGCTGGAAGATTGATGTGTGCTATTTCCTTGTTGTCCACAGCTAGATGAGTGACTGGAACCAGACCCATACTGACTATGGCTATAAGACTGACCTGAGCCAGACCCATGTCTGCTATGGCTAGAAGACTGGCTTGAGCCAGCTCTATGTTCACCATAGCTAGAAGACTGACCTGTACCAAACTCATGTTGTCCAAAGCTGGAGGATGGACCTGTGCTAGACTCGTGTTGTCCACTGCTAGAAGACTGACCTGAGCCAGACCCATGTTGACCATAACTAGAAGATTGACCTGAGCTAGATCCTTGTTGGCTACAGCTAGACGATGGCCCTGAGCCAGACCAGTGTTGGCTATGGGTAGAAGATTGTCTTGATCCATACCTGTGTTGTCCGTAGCTAGAAGATTGACCTGTGCCAGACCCATGTTGTCCAAATCCAGAGGACTGACCTGAGTTAGACACATATTGACCATAGCCAGAAGACTGACCAGAGCTATTTCCTTGTAGGCCACAGCTAGATGACTGACCTGAGCCATACCCATGTTCATTATGGCTAGAAGACTGTCCTGATCCAGGCTCATGATTTCCATAGCTAAAAGATTGACCTGAGCTAGACCTATGTCGTTCATAACTAGAAGAATGTCCTAAGCCAGACCCATGTAGACTAGAAGATTGATTAGAGCCAGATTCATATTTGCCATAATTAGAGGACTGGCTTGATCCAGACCCATGCTTTTGTCTTTCACAAGTCCCTGAAAGACCACCTGAGTTGGATTCATGGTGATTTTGTCTACAAACATGACTGGAGCCAGACCCATATTGTCCACAGCCAGAAGACTCTCCAGATCTATAATCTTGGTGATCATGGCCACACCTTTCTGGCTGATAAGAGCCATGCTTGTTTTTCCCGCTACCATTGGAGTATCCTGAACTTGACTGTCTTCTTTCCCCAGAGCTATGCCTGTGCTCAGAACTAGACAAACCTTCTTGACTTTTCAGTCTTCTGGTGCTGGACCTAGTCTTATGTTTAATCCTTCTAGAGCCCCTGGAATAGGAGTCATTCTCCTCTCCTGTACGCCAACTTGAATGACTGGAAGATGATTCTTGCCCTTTATCCTCTTCTTCTGTTTCACTCTGTTCCTCTTGGTGCCAGTAATTGTGGTTTCTCTCCTTTGACCCTGAAGCTTGGCAGTAATCTTTGCCGATGATTTTATTACAAGCCTGAGACAGCTTGAATATCATCACAAGAAACTCAGTAAAATCCACTTTCTTGTTATGGTCTCGATCCAGGCTTTGCATAATGACATCTACAGTGTCCGGATCATCTGGATTCTGTATAGGAGCAAGGTACAAAAGACAACTCTGTCAGTATGGCCCACACACTCAGCTAATGGAAGAAAGGCTGTAGGCTGTAGAAATATGAGTGCTTGGTTTACTTAATGGAGCTCAACCATATAATCTTTTAGGCTACACTGTACTATCCTGTCAGAAAGAGAATAAGTACTGGATATAAAGGAATATGTAATGAATAATGCAGCAAGAAAAGGATACAACTGGAACATGAAAGAGAACAAAGGGACTCGTCATTTTTTATATGGTATAGGTCATATAGAAATGAATGACTAATTTATAAATAATTTTGGGTACCTGCATTAATTATATATTTATACAGTTTTTGAAATTAATTAATTAATATATTCATTACTCATTCAACAAATATTTTTTGTGCTTTCACTTCTGCCTAGTATTGTGTTACGTACAGGGGATAAAGCAGTGAACAAGTTAAACTTGCTTCTTATCAAAATGGAGCTTAACTTTTAGTGGATCAGATACAAGAACTTAAAATTACAATTTATTGTGATAAGGTTTCTATGAATGTACATCAGAGGGTATGTGCCCCCATCAAAAGGGGGTTTGAGGAAGATTTAAGAGACGAAGTGATGACTTTGGAAGGATGAGTTATAATTTAGTCAAATGAAGAAATATGAAGGGAAGGAGGGGGGCAAAAAATTGTTCAAAGTAGAGGGAATGACAGGAACAAAGGGCTGGAGGAAAGAGAAAGCAAGACTCTTTCAAGGAACTGAAGAAATTTATGATAGATTTAGAGTCTGGTGGTGTAGTGCCTAAGGCATTTGACTGCTAACCAGAAGGCTGGCAGTTCAAACCCACCAACCAATCCTTGGAAGGAAGGTTGGGCAATCTACTTCTGTAGTGATACTGCCTCAGAAGCCCAAGGAGGGGTCGCTATAAGTCAGATCCTACTTAATGGCAGTGGGTTTAGTCAAGAGATGTGGCTAGAGATAAAAAGGGACCAAATCACACCTTATGCCATGTTAAGGAACTTCGGATTTTTATTATATGAGCAGTTGGGAGTTACTGAAGATTTTGACCTCAGGAGTGATGCAGAGTTTGGAAGCAGGAGAAGGCCTGAACTACAGGACTGACAATAATTATGTAGAGAAATGGGCTATTTTGAGAGACTAGATACTGCCTCGGAAACCCAAGGAGAGGTTGCTATGAGTTGGAGCTGACTTGACAGCAGTAAGTACAGTATTGATGAATTAGATGAAGATTGGAGGATGGTGGTGCTTGCTGAGAGAGGAAGTCAAGGATGGCACCAGATTTTTGGCCTTAGCAAACAGGAGAAGGAGAAAGTTTAGACAGGAAGGTAGTAAGTTTCATATCTGACACATTAAACTTGAGACATCCATAGGAATCCAAATAAAATTGTAGGCAATTGGATTTAAAGAACTGAAATTCAAGAGCTATATCTAAGTTCTCAAATATTTCTTTCCAGAGTTGACATTTTAAAGTGGTGGTGCCCCTGTTTTGGATTTAATGGGAAGCCACTTATTTCCTGAATTCAGAAGCCTTATAGCACCAGAATCTCAGACATGGACAGTGGTCATGATGATCTGAAGAAAGACAGAAAAGGGAAGGAGCCTTATTTCATCTGCTTTGCAATTTTTCTGAGAACTGTCTCTGTTCCATAAGAATTACTCACACATACCCCACTGCCATCGAGTCAGACCCGACTCATAGCGATCCCTCCTTGGGTTTCCGAAGCAGTATCACTACAGAAGTAGATCGCCCAACCTTCCTTCTGAGGAGTGGCTCGTGGGTTTGAACCGCCAGCTTCCTGGTCAGCAGTCAAATGTCTTAGGTACCACACCACCAGACATATGAGACATTATTTAGTATATGGAGTTTGTCTGCTATTTAGTAGAATTACTTCCTCTGTTCCAGTTATGGAAACTATTATGGGTCAACTCTTGACCTTATTTCAAATATTTATCAAAACCTGTTCTCTATCAGCAAGTGGGGATAGTTCTCTAGATATTTGATATATGCTTCAAAGGCACAGGAAGGGATGAAGAAGAGAATTGATGCAGGCTTCAAACCAGGCATGGAAAGTTCTTACCTTCAGAATTTGCTGAAACTCCTTTTCCAAAAGTTCTTTCAGCTCTGCTTTGCTCAACATATCACATTCTCCTTCCTTGGTGGCATACTGGTAGAAAACCTCAATGATAGAGACAATGTTTTCTAGGAGCTTAGGCATCTTTTTTTGTGAATTTAAGTTAACCTAAAGGGGGATAAAAGAGAGACCTGTGTTGTAATATCCCTTTTTATTTCTTAAGCATTTAAATAGTTCTAAACATTTGTGAGAATTAGTCATGCATGACTAATTTCATCCTTTTGTAATCAAGAACCAACCCAGAGTTGAATGACTCGTTCAAGCCATGTAGCAAGAGAGTGGTGAGGCTAGGGATAGAATACATATCTCCTATTTCCAATGAATTTCAGTTTTGGGCTCCCTGCCTCTACTAGGGGTAATTTTTGGGGTTTTGTTCTGAAATTATTGAAATCCTGAGTTTGCTATGCCATTTACTTTCTCATTTCCATTCCAGGTTCCAACTATCATAAGGGGCGTTGGGAGTAGGGGTGGGAGGTGGGGAGATAGGCCCCACATCTACATGGCATGCCTGACTCCAACTAAGGGGCACCACTGGCTGAATTGGACCCTCAAGACTTCTGGTTCAGAGAAAGAGCACAAAGCAGGCAAAGCCAACTACCAAAAAAAACCCCAAACTCACTACCAATGAGTCGGATCTGACTCATAGCGACCCCTCCTTGGGTTTCCGAAGTGGTATCACTATGGAAATAGATTGCCCAAATCTTCCTTTCGAGGAGTGGCTGGTGGGTTTGAACCGCTAGCCTTCTGGTTAGCAGTTAAATGCCTTAGGCACTAAGCCACCAGAGTTCCTATAGCCAACCAAAGGCCTAGGTGATATGGGTCTGGGAGCAGTGGCTATTAGATTCAGATTCTGTTCTCATTCTGCAAGGAGAAACTGACTCTCCAGCTTTACAGGTTACACAACAGATGGATGAGAAAAAGCTCAATAGTGTGAGAAGCAACCTGACTAGTGTATGATCAGATCCCCATGATCTTTAAGGAAATGACTCCAAAGTAAGGAGATCCTATCAATAATCCTAGTTGTCGCTTCATTTTCCTTTTCAATAAAACTAAACTTAGACCAAAGTTTGCCAAAGTATATTAAAAAGAAGCCCGGTATCCAGAGTCTCTTTGCTTTAGAGCACACCTCTGGATTTTATAATGGACATGCTAAGTACCCACGAGTGGAGCTGAACTCCTATTTACTTACCTAGTTCACCAGAGGAACAAGTAGGATTGAGACCTAAGCAGCTTGCAGGGTGCTGATTGTTGGGGAGAGTGGCCTTTTTATACAAGGGATAATGGTCCATCTTAGGGAGGAGCTGTTCTCTTTGCAATGTCCTAATTCACTTCTGAATAAGCCCAGCTCCACCTCCAACTCCACCTCCCCGGTGTTTGTTTACCTTTTTGTTTCCTTACTTGTTCACCTGAGATTGCATTAGCAGTTCTCAAATCTGGGTTAGTATCAACCCCACCTGCCAGAGTCTCAGAACATTTTGTAGAAAGGCCTCTGTGTATTTACCAAAGTGCCTAGCATAATGCATTGGCAACAAAATTTGTACTTTAATTGAAGTTGAGGAGAGTGTTTGCAGGGACACCAGGGCCCAAATATCAAACTCTCTCATTCTAAACTAGATTTTTTAACATAGGAGTCTAGCTAAGGAATCATCTATGCTATTATAATAGCATATATCCCTCTTGTAATGGATAATGGCTTCAGAGGCCCTCCTTTCCATCTCTTTACCTGACTCAATTTACCAAACATTAGTGGCTATTCATCAATATAGCTTTCAATTCAACCATTATGTGACCATAGGAAGAAATTCATGCCCTTTAGCATTATATTCAGGGTTCCCCATGATCTGGGCTATGACTTTTCTCTGCCTATCACCTCTCTTCCTATTCCCTTTGTGGCCCACCAGTAATTAACTACTTAAACGTTCCTGAACATACAATTGCTATTTCATATTTTGTTTGTTATACCTTACCTTATGATCTGCCTACTGGACTTCTATTTATTGTTCAAAACTCAGCTCACACTTCCCATAGGAAATCTCTTGAATTACTCAAGAGAGAGTTATAATTGTGTATCTTATTCATAATCTTATTATTATATTAATCATGCTATATTGTATTTAAAATTTTTATTGAAAAATTGGGAGCTCTGGTAGCATAGTGCCTAAGGCACTTGACTGCTAACCAGAAGGCTGGCGGTTCAAACCCACCAGCCACTCCTCGGAAGGAAGATGAGGCAATCTACTTTTGTAGTGATACTGCCTCAGAAACCCAATGCTATGAGTCAAGTCCGACTTGATGGCATATAACAACAACAACATTGAAAAATTAATGTTTATTAAAAATAAGAAAATATGGATTAGCAAAGAAATCAAAATGGAAACACCTATAATCACCTATAATACCACTACCCAGAAGTAACTACTGTTAATTATTTGGTGTATACCTTTTCACACACACACACACACACATACACACACACCTATGTATGTGTACATATATAATTGTTTATTTGCTTATATCATTTCTAAATTATGTGCTCCATAAAATAGGGATTGGGTATGTTACTCACAGAGCTAGCATATTGTGTGGTTCATAAAAGATACCCAATACATGCTTGTCAGTTTGAATTGAGTATAAAGATGAATGAGTGTCATGACTTCAGTTCTCTTTACTGGCCAAGAACTTCTACTTTTTCACAGTAGGACTAAGGTCCGCCCTTTCTCTTGTCATTTTCACCTCAGAAGAAATGATTTTACTTGAATATACACTGAATCTCAGCACTGGGAATCAATGAGTGACTTTCTGCTTGTCCTTGAGGACTTTGTTCTGTATTTGAAGGTATAAAAAATTTCACTGAATGTGTTTGAAGTACATAGACTAAGAACTTGTGCAATATTGTCCTCAAGGTTTGGAAGGAGTGGTAGCAGCTATTGGCAAATGAGAAATTACTTGATTCCAGAGTCAACCATTATTAGTTACATGTTTTCCTCTATGAACTACTCAGGGTGCTGGAGTGTCAGCATCCATTCTGTGGCCATGTTTTCTCTGGACACCTGGTTTGGGCTAGGCTATCACGCTTCATCAGGGAAGTGACCTTTATAAAGGTATGACTGAGACTGTGGGAGTGAAGGGGAGGTGGAATTTGCTGAGTTGAGGACTGGTTTCCCGCATGAGCAGGCTGTTGCCAAAGAGGAAGAGGAGGGCTGTGGATGAAGTCTATTCCAGATATATATGCTTTTGGTGTCAAAGTTCTCCTAAACTGTTGTTGTGTGCCAGTCAGGTCATGTCAGACTCCTAACAACCCTACATGGCAGAGTAGAAATGTCCTATTGGGTTTCCTAGGTTATAACCTTTATGGGAGTAGATCACCAAGTCTTTTCTCTCGTGGAATGGCTGGTGGGTTCAAACTGCTGACCTTTTGGTTAGCAGCCAAGTGCTTAACCATTGCACCACCCAACTCTCTCCTAAACTAGGAGTCAACAAAGTTTTTCTGTAAAAGGCCAGCAGTATATACTTTAGTCTCTGTGGTCCATGCAGTTTCTTGAAACTAATAAAGTCTACTGTCACAGTGTGAATGCACTGTATAAATGAATGAGCAGGCTGTGTTCCCATATAATTTTATTTATAGACAATGCATTTGGATTTCATGTGTCATTTTTTATCCACTTAAAAATGTAAAAATTATTCTTACTTGCAGGCTATACAAAAGTTGATGAGTTGGATTTCGTCTGCAGCCTGTAGTTTGCCACTCTTTGCCCTAAATGAAACACTCATGGAATTGTGCAGGCCAAAAATACTTTCTCCCCCTCTTCTGTATTTGCTGTCAGGAATATTCTCCAGGAGAGGAAAATCTCAGAGGCAAGAGATAGGCTGTAAAAGGTAGGGCATCAGAACTACTAAGTCTTATGAGAGGAAAATGTATGTATATTTGTGAATGCCAGCAGGTGTGTGGTGGCATTCACACACACACACACACACACACTTCACACACACACTCTTAGAGATAGAAAGATAGATTAAGACATATTAAAAGTGAAAGGGGAAAGAACAAGGGAACTTCGGGTACTCATAAAAAAGAGGTTAATTTTGACTTGCTGTAAAGAAGCAATTTTTAACCTCTGTGTTGACTGAAAATGCAATGAGCTCTCTGTGAAGTAGTTGGATTTATTGCCAGAAATGTTATAAAGACATTTGTGCATCAGTTTTTACCATCTCTTTTCTTTCCTTCTTTCCTTTCTTTTTCTCTCTCTCCTTTCCTCCCTTCCTTTTAGGGTTCTGTTTTCTGAGTATTCTCCCTAACCAGAGTTTTGTTGGGCTTTTTTTCCTGGTTTGTGTCAGAAAAACAAGAAGCATAATCAATATAGATTTTGTCCTCTTCTCTCCCTATTGAGAATTAATGTAAAGGTTAGACTAGATTAATTAATGTAAAGGTTAGACTAAATTATCATAAAAATCCTTTCCAAAATGGAGATTCATGATTTTACGACAGTGTGTGCTCCACAGTAACTGGGTTGGGCATGAGTTTCCCCACCTCATAAGTTTGGTTAGTGGTTTACTCCTTGGAGATGACAACCTTCAGGAGAAGAGTTTTCTTGAGGCATGCACTATGTTTTCTCAGTGTCTCTTCATGTGTGGTGGCTGAAGACAGGAAATCATGTCTATTTTGTGTCAAGAACTGTGCTAACATCAATGACCCTATGAAGAGGTATCATTACCTTTGTTTTGTAAATGAGAAAATTGAGGCTCAGAGAAAATATGTAAATTGCTTCAAGTCACTTAGCTGTTAAGTAGAGAAGATAAGCTTCAAAGTCAAATCTACTTCTTCCTGGGAAGAGCCATGGAATAAGCCTGTGGACTATTCCTGTCTTGGAAAAGGCAAGGTTTGGGGAATAGTTGTTGAAGAATAGACTGTTTGACCTTGGGGGAAAAGAAAAAGAACAAAACCCCCTCCCCAATAAAAAAAAGAAAGAACAGAAAACAAACAAACAAAAATCCAACAGACCAAATTGGTGAGGAAGATGAGCAGTGAAGTTCTCATCCCATCTCTGCACACCCATTCTTTCTCTCCATTCTGCAAGGCAGAGTGACATGCTTATAGCACCATCTGCTGGGACTTGGGGAGATTCTATGGCAAGTCTTTTCCTCTTTGCCCTTTTGTGCCTCTTCCCTCACCTGTCCCATATCAAGAGAATATTGATGATCATGATGATTTTGGGGTGAGGGAAGTCAAAAGAAGTTAGCTATAATACAAAACTAGTCAATAACTAGTCTATATTCTCTTACTCAGGTGCAAGGTGTCTTTTTCCCCCTATCTCAAGAGATCCAAAAATAGACTTTATAATTTACAATTTTGCATGTATTCACAGGAGGATGGTTAAGGCATGGTGATATACCTTTCAAACCCAGACATAGGCCCTGGAATATTGGTCTTCCTATTTAGTTATTCTCTCTCTCCCCTTAGTATTCTCTCTTCTCTTCTCCAACACCTCCAAAAGCCCCAGATGCTGGGAATAGAGCTTATTCTTACTTGTATCTTCTCATCGCTTCTGCATCAACATTTTTTCTGTAGTGTGTCTTTGACTCTTCACCTTCATGGTTAATGTTGTTATTGGTGTGGTCTATATTCATAGCCCATATCTCTTAGTCCTTACCCTCTTGAGGTTTACAGCATGCAGATTTGATCCTTCAAAGTAGACAGATGTAGGATAGTGACAGGAAATGTTCCTTAAATACAATTTATTGAAATATATTTATGTACAGTGAAATACACAAAATGGGGACTTGAGATTGTAAGGTCTGGGAGGGGAGAAGTTGAGACACAGAGAACTTGGTTGTTAGGAATCGGACCCAGAACCCAAGGAAGCCTGCAGTTAGTGAGAAGGATGGATAAGTAAACAACATAGTAATTGTTAGAATAATGAGATGTAGTAGATAACTATGGCTTTTTACAAGGACACCAAACTCAGACTGGATTTGGGAAAGGTGCCAGAGAATGCATCCCAGAGGAGATGATTTCTGAGTGAAGTTTTGAAGTGAAACTAGGCATCAGCCAGTTGAGGAAGGAGATAAGGACACTTTTAGGCAAAGCCAATGTCTCTTTCAGTCACTGATGCAAGAGTTAGCGTGGTAAGTTCTGGGAACTACATCCATTACTCTTGGGCTGGAATATAGAGTTTAAAGCAGAATTGGACAAGAGAAAAGGCTAACATGGTAGTATGGGTTAGATAAGGAGTTGCTGTGTGGCACCAATAGTGAAGTGCTTGGCTACTAGCCAAAAATTTGGCAATTTGAACTCACTCAGGATCCTTAGAAGACAGCTCTGAAGATCTTTTGAAGTCTCACAGCTTTGAAAACCCTATGGAGAAAATGGGAAGAGTGCTGTTCATTGAGGAGATTGTGACCAATGTCACAAAACAAAATGTGCATAAATTGTTGATTGGACAAATAATTTACTGTGTAAAATTTCATTCAAACTACAATAAAAAGTTTTTTTAAACAGCAACAACCCTGTGGAACACTTCTACTTTGCACACCTGGAGTCCACATGGGTTGGAATCAAGTTGATGACAAACAAGTATTGGGTTAAAACCAATAAATAAATAAATAAATAGATAGATAGATAAATAAAAGAGGCCATTGCATAAGGTGCAAGTAAATTCCCCCCAAGATTTTATTGTGCCCTCTTTCCCTTCTAGGAGGTCTGGTGGTGTAGTGGATAAGGCATTTGGCTGCTAATCAGAAGGTCAGTGGTTCAAACCCACCAGCCATCCCAGAAGGAAGATGGAGCAATCTACTTCTATAAAGATTTACAGCCTCAGCAACCTAAGGAGGGTCACTATAAGTTATAATCAGCTTGATAGCAGTCAGGTTTCTTCCCCCCGTCCCCCTTCCCTTTCTGGTGGCTCCTGGATTGCTTGCCTCTGGAAACTTCCTGCTGTAGGGGATTATCCCTTCATGTTGTGACAGGGCCAGTAATTCATGTTGATCAACCTTCCCCACTTGTGTTAGGAACAGAAGGGTAGCACTTGGTTATCCATGCCCCAGTTACTGCCAACACAGCTGATCCCACAGCTATCCTGGCCCGTTCCCCCACAGAGTTTCTAAGGATGTCACTTTTACTTAGATGTTTAAATGACTGAATCCTGGAATAGTGAACAATATCCCACTGAGAACTTAATTCTCTTGCCACTGGGACCAGACAGTGACACAGGTGTGTTTTAGTTATGTTCACTCACACAGATGGCCAAGATGTGGTAAGGAGAGGAGAGAACTCCCCAAAGGCAGAAGTCATTGACAAATAGTTATATATCAAACAGTGGTCTCATTAGCTGTCTGCCCTTTCCTACTTAATAGGCTGGAGAAGCAATATCCATTCTGTTGCTATATGGCTTCCAAGATGCTGATATGGACCAGTCACAATTCATCAGGGAAATGCCTTTGGAGATGTGTGACTACAATTGTAGGAGGAAAGGGAAGTTGTAATTGCTGTTGAGTGATTTCCATTTAGGGAGGTGCTGTTTTGGGTTTAGGACCTCTGGTGGCACTGTGGTTAAAGCATTGGGCTGTTAACCAAAAGGTTAGTGGGGGAACCCACCATCTGTTTTATGGGAGAAAGATGAGGCAGTCTGCTTCTGTAAAGATTTATAGCTTTGGACACCCTGTGTGGCAGTTCTACTCTGTCCTATAGGGTCCCATGAGTCGGAATTGATTCATGGCAGTGAGTTGGGTTTGGTTTATTTTGGTTTTGGTTTATTTTGAGGTTGGTATTATTCCAGCTGGAATTCTTTCCTGTATTGCACAGCTGAGGCCAATACTCCATACATTAGCGGGCCATGTAAAAAAAAGTACCCAGATCTGAGTTTGTATTTGTCTGAGCAAGATGACAGTTGGGCTGACCTCACACTGATTTTGCAGTTGTCTCTGGTGCTCTTGCCCTCTACTCTCATTATCATTTATTTGCTTGATAATGTTCTCCTTTATAAAGACAAGAGTGAGCCAGTTAGGGTCAGGATAGCTTATGAATTTGTAAAATGTTCAATACGTTTCATCTTGCTCTTCATTGCTGCATCAGTTGAGGGGTGGGGAAGATATTGTTTCAAGAAACAGTTGGAAAGGTGGGAAAGTGAGTACTTTGGAAGGAAATCTCTAACTGTTGTTGTTAACTATCAGATGGCTCCCTGTTGCTGTTGCTGCAGGTGCAGGAAGTCACAAAGAGGAGAAGAAACTTGTTAACTTCCCCTTACCCAACCTCAACTAAAAACACACTGTTGAGAGTTGATTCTGGCCATAGCAGCCCTCTAGGACAGAGTAGAACTTGTCCCATAGGGGTTCCAAGGTGTAATCTTTACAGAAGCAGACTGCCTCATACTTCTCCCATGGAGTGGCTGGCTGATTTGAGCCACCGAACTTTTGGCTAGCAGTTGAATGCCTTAACCACTGAGACCCCAGAGCTCCTTTATCCAATCCCAGATGGGACCATATTCTGGAGGGATAAGATTAGTTCACGCAATCGAGAGAAGTTCAATCTAGGAGAAGAGTTACAGAATCCAGAGGTGATCAATTCATTTAAACATTTATTGAAGATTTATCACATGCCAGACACTGAGTTTGTCTCTGGGAGGTTATAATTATCAAGAAGACATGGTCCCTGCCTTCAAAGTGTTCATAAGCTAATGCAGGGTGTAGACATGAAATAAGTGCAATGTGATGATCATAATAAAGGTATTCACAAATTGCCATGGAATGACAGATGAAGGAATGACTCATTTTCCTTCAGGAAGAGTAAAGAATGACTCCCAAGAAGGTGACACTTGAACGGGGCCTTAAAGGTTGCATTTGTTAGTTTCTCTAGCATTTGCTAGATTCTTTCTCTACTGTGTTCTCAGCACCTTGCACTCTACTGGCCATATAGTAGATACTCAATAAATATTTGTTAATCATGCGTTCTGGGCAGGAAGAACATCCTGAGAAAGGCAATAGTTCCTCACAGAGGGTATTGGTAACTGTTGGTAGTCCAGTGAGGCTAGAATGTTGAGGGAAAGAATCTGGGGGATGTTTAGGAATGGTGAGATGAGAAAGGCCTCAGATACCAAGCTAAAGAATTTGGAGATTATCTCATATCTCACTGATAGCAGTGGGAGAATTTTAAGAGCTTTAAAAATTAATTTCAACTTTGAAGGGATTCGTTCAACATTTAAAAGCTATACTAGGGTATATAGATAGAGCTGACAAGGGACAAGGTTGTAGTCACTCCTTGGTCACAGCCAACTACCCAGAGGGAGCGAGTAGTTGAACCTGTGGTCTTGGGACCATTGTCACAGGGGACATCAAGCTCAATTGGCATAACATACTACACAAATCATTGTTCCACCACCTCCTTTGGTGAGTAGCGACTGGAATCTTAAAAGCTTGCAAGCAGCCATCTAGATGCAACAATGGGTCTCTCCTCATCCAGAGCAAAGAAGAATGAAGAAAACCAAACATTTATGCAAACAATTAGTCCTCATGACTGGTACACCATGCGATCCGCAGTCTATATGACTATGAGACCAGAAGAACTGGATGGTGCCCAGCTACCACTGTCAACCACTCGGAGGGGGATCTATGTAGGAGATCCTGGATAGAGAGGGAGGATAATATGGAACAAAAATCAAAATCATTTGGAAAAAAAAAAAGGGGGAGGGGATCAGGTTTGCTGGTCTGATAGAGTCTGGTGAAACCACTGAGACTAGGGTCCCTAGCTGCCCTTCAGGTCTGGAATTGAACCCACACCTCTGACTTCCAGCCAAACAAAAGACAGGCATATGAGTTGAACGTTTACCTGAGGTAGATACACTCCTTGGAGAGAACAATCATGGGAGAAAGAAGGGCTGACAGTACAGGGGGTGGGAGTGCATAGAGGGATGGACACAGGGAAGAGGTGACTATTGGGAAGAAGTGGGAGGGAAGCTGTTGCATTGGGGTAAATTGTAATCAATGTCATGAGATAACGTGTGTGTGAACTGTTGTATGGAAAGTGAATTTACTCTGTAAACTTTCACCCAAATCACAGTAAATAAATAAATAAAGAGTATCACCCATTAAAAAAAAATACACTAGAGTATATAGAGATGAATTTTTCTCTCACCCTTGTCCACCATTCTCCCATTTTTTTAAAATCTTCTCAGACACAACTAGTGTTACCATTTCATCTATATTCTTCCAGAGATATTCTATGGATATTCAAGTCTATAAGGATTGCCCCTGGCACAAATGTTTAAGCATTTGGCTGCTAACTGAAGTTAAGGTTAGTAGTTTGAATCCACCCAGAGGTGCCTTAGAAGAAAGGCCTGCTGGTCTACTACTGAAAGATCACAATCATTGAAAACCCCATAGAGTGTAGTTCTCTATTGCACTCAGTTCTATACAGAGTAGCACAGTTCCATTCTGAAAATACACATGGGTTGCCTTGAGTCAGTTGGATATCAACTATCTCGTTATCCAACATTGCACATTTATTTACCACAATAGTAAAAAATCTATTCTGTTTTGTTCATTAATGATGTACATCTGATAGAAATCACCTGTGAGGTGGGAGACAAGAGTCATGCTGGCTGTGATGGTTAAAGTTATATGTCCACTTAGCTGGGCAAAGATTCTTAGTGGTTTGGCAGTTATGTAATGATATAGTTATCCATTTTGTGATCTGATATAGTCATCCTCTATTTTTTCATAATGTTAATTTT